TTGCCGACAACCCGTTTCCTGGATTGATGTGCGATGTTATCTGCTTCACCCGCGACTCAGATATTATTTTTAATAAGCCCCATAAAAAGGAGGCAGGTGTGGCGAGCGATAAAAGAGTGAGTGTAACATGTAGGAGTGGCTAAGACGAAGCGACCATATCCCGTTATCCCTTCACTTCTTAAATGGCCTGCTCCCTTCTCCCTTCTCCCGTTCTGCTGGAAGCGAGTAGGATAAAAACGAGTTGGGTGCAAGTGGGCGCAGATATCCGATCGACACTCTATCCCTGCAACGTGATTTTGGCGGACGTTTAGCTATTATGAACGAGAAGGAGTATTGTTGTTTTTTTCCCTTCTTTTTTGCGAGAACTAATGTCTGGTCGTTTTGCAGTAACATAAAGGAAACTAGTTTTTTGTATGCGGTCTTTCTTCGCTTCGCATATTGTTCAAACACCGACCAACAAAACAAAAACCAAATAAAAAAATATCTAACGCCCAGACATACTTGAACAAATGTAAAAGTAAAAAAAACAACAACCAGCGCTCGCAAGACGGGGCAGCGGGACGTGCCAAAAGGCGTGTTGAAGGCCAAGCCGCAGATAATCTCCTGCCGCCTCGTGCTTGCGTGTATCCCTCTCCTGCGCCCCTCCTACGCCACCATATTTCGTGTTCCTGATTCCTGTCCCTCTCGTAGCCAAGGTGACCCCGCCCCTACCCAGCCCAGGGCCCCTTCGTCCGCCATGGGTAACTTACTGGTCGTCACGTGCACCATACCTGAGCCCATACCTCGTAGTACCGAAGTCTAGATTTTAGTACTAGACTTCGGTTAGGCCTACATGTTGCGATTGTCGCGCTTGTATTACTTTCATTGCCATTGTTATTGTTTCTGTTGTTAGCACTTTTGATTGTGTTGGTTTCAAGATTTTTTCAATATTGTTGGTATGGTTAGAAGCATATGCATTACTTATTGTCGTTGTTATGGTTATTGTTAAAGTTGTTAATCATTATTACTTTCCTCATTTTAATACTATAGTCTGAATAGTAACAAGCGATAAATAGTGATTCGCGGTTGCAGAAAGACAAGTAAAAAGCCCAAAAACTAAGATAGTGAAGGGATAGATAGTCTGATCACTCTCCATTACGTCATCTTCATAATACTAGATTGGTAGTAACTAAACATTTACACTGGTCTTATGATTTTGTTTCTCGTCCTTCTATTTTGTTTGTTTGTTTATCTAATATTATACAATCTCTTTTATTTCTTTCGCACTGCAAACAAATATGAGGCTTGCATTTTATCGAAAGTATCCAGGAGCGAGCAAATATTTACGTTCGCAGAAATATAACGACGATAAGCCAACCAACAAGCTACATCCTCTGAGAGCAGACAGGCCACCTGACCAGAAGCTGCACCACCCGCAAGCGAAAAAAATGTATATATGAATAGTTATCTGCGACTTTGAACAAGTGATCCGGCTTCGCTTGCAAACTCTACTGAGTGTGAAGGAATATACACGTATGCTTGCTGGATATTCTTTAGTAGTGCTGAGTGCACAGGCCTTATCGAGGAAATGGAGACGGGGAGAGGGGGGGGGGGGGGTATGAATGTATGATAATGTACAGTACAGTTGAGAAACGTACCATTATCTTGTATTCATATAGAAGCCACTTCACACTTTTGCTGTTTAATTAGCAATTAGTTAAAATTTTAAGTCTATTTCCAAAAATGGGTATATGCGTAGATATGTCTGTGTGTGTGCTGTGTTGTCAACATCAATTTTTATTATATAGCCATTGCAAGAGAATAGGATGGGATTTAAAGACCCCCTAGATACGGGCGTGAGTGTAACGTCTTCGAAACCGCATGGAGCCGGGCAGCGTGGAGACGACGGGCGCGGTTGTGGGAGGGAATTCTGTCAGGCTTAAGCTCTTTTATGGGGGATCGTTCCACGGAAAAGGCCACCCCCTCTGGCTGTAGGGTTGGCGAGGGGATGAGACTGTATAAGGAGTTTGCGCATTGTGAATTTCTCATTTATGAGGATAGGGGAAAAGGTGGGTGTATCGGAATTGATGTTGATATTACTGGCGTGTTTATTTTTCTGTGAACTATAGTAAATTATTGGATATAGTTTTTTGATTTTGCATGGGTCTCTGTTGTAGATAAATTCCTATATTATGACATTACCTATATCACCATTTTTATTACTTGACTTTTTTTATAATATCGGAGAAAAAAATATTTTCGATATGTACGCTGTTCATTTTGACATGCTTGAGCCAGTTCACACATGCCTTTGTTAATGAATATGAATGTGTTTCGTCTTCATGTAAATATGTATAATAGCGGTGACACGCCATACGAAAGTACCCTGCCAGTAACCTAATACTTCTGCATGCAACGTCTCTGTTGAGCCAATTGAATAAGCCTTTATGACGCTCTAAATGCAAGACATACCTCCTTGGCACCTACCACCTTAATTACCAGCCATTTAGCAATTGGTAAACTCGCCCAAAAACTAACCAAACAGAAAACAGTACCACTTTTTACTTACTTGTTAACAACTAAAGAAAAATTCCTTGTCTTGGAACCTCTTCGCCTCAGATATCCACAAAGAGTTGCCAAATATTCTTTCTTATTCATTTTTTGGACACCTATATAACTTCCCATGCGACGTAATGAAGATTCAAATACTCATACATCCGATTAGTTAGAATTAACAAATGAGGATACTGAAAATAGCAAATACGAAAAATATGAATTGGCAACTCCATGAAACCAGCACATGATGTGAGTACGTATTTCTTCGACATTCAGTAGTCCCATTTCCGGCCATGGACTGCCCTGTATCCGAAATATAAAAGACGTGTTTTGATCGCACGACTAAACAGGTTATAGGGGTGTTGCTACGATGTTTATTTATTCCTACTAATTGCATATTCCTTAGAAATGAGAATTAGATGTTTGAATCGCGTGTCACTTTTGTTAAAGGGTATTCTTAAAATCTGATGACAGACAAAAAATCGTGTTATTATCATCAAATAAAGGAGTAAATTGCACATTCCACTATATCATCTATGCATACAGTGCATGTGTGTGTGTATAAATATATATTTGTGAGCGTGTATGTGCATATATATATATATATATATATATATATATATATATATATATATATATATATATATATATATATATATATATGTATGTATATATATATATATATTTATTTATTTATATTTATATATGTATATGTATATATATTTATGTATGTATATATATATATATATATATATATATATATATATATATATGTAGGTATGTATGTATGTATATACATGTATATATATGTATGTACACACACACGCACATACACACACACACACACACACACACACACACACACACACACACACACACATATATATATATATATATATATATATTATATATATATATATATATATATATATATATTATGTATATATATATGTATGTATATATATGTATATATGTATATATATATATATATGTATATATATATATATATGTATATATATATATATATATATATATATATATATATATATATATATATATATATATATATATATATATATATATATATATATATATATATATATTCATACACACATACATATATATACATATATATACACATATACACATACGCACATACACACAAACACACACACACACACATATATAAATGTAATATAAATGTAATGTAACGTAGACAAGTATATAAAACAATCCCATCAAACCAAATTAGTTAAGTGAAAGGGCTGAATTTTTGGCTTTGCTGAAAGATGTCTGTTTATAGTCTGTTTATTTACATCTGTAGAATGTAAACATCCTTAACACGAAAGTAAGTGGCCTGAAAGTGTTGTTTATTTTTACACATCTTAGGAAAGATTGAGTTCCCAGTCAAGTCGATGCATAAAAATGTTAAAGCATGCTGAAGGACTGGTTACAGACATTAATATATTTTTTCCTTTTGTATTGTATGGTTGAGTATATTGTTAATTATTTGGCATTCCAAAACGGCGTCTTTTTAAATGTTCTTCCTGTTTTGTAACAAGGTTAGAAAAAGCACAAACTCATGCAGCTTTCAAAACTGTCTATATTAGTAGGAACTAGTCAGTGCATTTTTTATCAAATCAGTGGTGATGATAATAGAACTTATGCACTATCCTACTTACATGCGGTTATAAATAGCATCAAATCCTGACTGGCTGTTGTAAAGTATTGCTCCAAATTTGTCGTTTAGCAAGTATTGCTAAAGTTTAGTAGCTTTAGTGGAATGTAAAACGAGGGATGGATTTGCACACACATGCATACATTTGGAATTATCATGACATGTGCCTCTTTTCTTTTAGAGTAATCGATTTTTTCTTTCGCAATTGGTATTATGTACTGTAGCAAAGAACGTTTCGCTGTTTTTTCATTAGACTATTTGCTGTTGATATCGCATATCTGACGTATCTGCGTCCAGTATCAGATTTCAAGTATTGAAATTATTTTTATGAGAACTGTTTTTTTGTGATCAACTCGTTTTTCTGTCGATCAACTTTAGTCAGAACTAAGGCCGAAGCATTCTGGTGGGCGCCTCTCTTAATCATTAATTGGGGCAGTTTTATTGTTTTCCTTATAGAGTAAATAAATTTTTCGAAGAATTGCATTGAAAAGTAAACCATGTTTCATAAAAGCCAGTTAAGATTACCTCTGAGTAATTGGAAGTTGGAAATCGCCGAGGTATTACATCTGATTGTTCTTAGCGGATGGTGCAAATGCAACTGATTGTAGAGATGGCATCGGATGGAATCGAGATAAAACATTCTTTTGGTTTATGCATTGCTTACGGAATAATGATGAACATTCAAGATATTACGATATCCTTATATAGCCTATACCTTTCCCTTTATCTCAATATAAACATGATGACACTAATATACACTGATGATTAATGTGGACTACTTTTACAGGGCCAGACAGCATTCTGGAGACAGAAAATGCGCACACATCATCAGGTGATTGACCTCAACAAGGACGGCGTTGTGTCTTGGGATGACTTCGAAGTCCTCATTGCTAGGTTCACCGAGCTTGGACACCTGTCACCTAAAGAAATTAACAAATTCACAGATGCATTACGGGTGAGATTTATTTCGACAGATTGTAATTAAAAAAACAATGATTGAAGTACAGCAATCGTATGTATATTCCCATTATGATGAAACAAATAGGTGTATGATATGCAAAATTCATCATGGTGAGCTCTGTTTCATGGAATTATCTTTAAATAAAAGCATTTTCCATCAAATTTATGAATGACTTTTAAAAACTAAAACAGCACTCATATGTGGTTTCCCTGGACAGCACGTTTGGGAAGAAGAGTGGGGTGCCTCAGGAGACCCGTACGTCTTCATCGGACAAGAGCAGTTCCTGGCGCAAATGGAACATGTTGTCAACACGAAGTCACTGAGAAAGAGAGTTGCTAGCCCTCTGCCCTATTTCTTTAGCGTAAGGCTTTTTATAATAATTCTTATAGTACCTTTAACATGAAAATATTATATATATGTTTTACATTAAAAACGTTTGTTAAGTGTAGTATATTTTTTATGCTCTCTTTTACAGGCCGTAGACCGTGATGGAAGCGGGGAAATCTCCATTGAAGAATTCAAAGTCTTTTATTCATGCTTAGGATTATCAGAACAAGTAAGTAGATTGGAAATGTTTTAGTGTTTGTATAATTTCTTTTGAGTTTTCTATTTTTATTTACAGAGTTCACGAAAGAATTATTGCATGATTCTCTTTGGAAATAGAGTAGAGCACATCCAGTTCACTGTTTATTAACTGTGTTTGTATTTTATTATAAAAAGTCAAGTATAAACATTTTATTCCGTGAAGTATTCAAAATTTGTAAGCCATCGTATTGATTACTTTTTTGATATGCGATGTCGACTTCAAGATATTCAGTACACATAAGATTAAGATTAACAATATTTTTACCCATTGTCCTGGGATTACATTACATGCAAGCCAGATGTCCTGTGCTTGTAGTTAATTTTGTTACAGAAAATATGTTCTGATGTACTTGTATACATATTATGAAAACATGCTACACCGGAAATGCCCGTGTTGTATGTTAGTATAGAAAGTAATGAATCGCAAAGTTGGGCTTCCGGTTGGTCCGGTAACCATCGTTTCTGAGGATTTCATGATGATAATTCGATATATTGGGAGAACGTAATGTTTTCATAGGGGTGGGGGCGTTCAGTAAGGGGTTTATTTTTTTTAATTAGCAGGTTAGCATGTACTTAGTCACCAATGAATCCATTACTAGTCCCATCTATGTTCCTTGTTTATCCTTTTCCTTCAATCTCGATATTGATAACATTAAACTAATCATAATGGTAATAATAATTATAACACTAATGATATTAATACCATATGAAAGTAATATTAATTCAAGGATTGGCAAAATCAGATACGGTCATATAGTCCTCAGTGACTTATCAGTTGTAGAGCCATATCTGCACAACTAAAAACAACAGTGGTCAGAACATATATGGGTGGCCAGTGAGTAATGTATTCGACATGACATTTCAATCAGCACAGTTACAGTATATTGATTTTTTTCACTTTTTTCCAGGCTGCTGAAGAATCCTTTGCTTCTATTGACCTTAATAAGGATGGGAAGCTCAGCAAGAAGGAGTTTATAAAATTGGGACGAAATTTCTTCCTGTCCGAGAAAGAACACAAACCTGGCAAGCTTTTCTGGGGTCCTTTGGTTTAAGGAGCGCCTGTAGACAATTTTGCGGACTTGTGAAGAAAATGTTTAATTATGTGAGCATGACTGACAGAAATCAGATAAGGTCATATGAAATAGGGTCCTGTGTTTAATGTGTCCCTTTTGGCAGTATTTGAGATTTGTTAAAATGTGAGTAATGCAAATATGACAGAAATTAGATGAATTCAAGTGATGAAACTGCATCCAAATATTTGCAACAGTGAATTTTAATATTTTTATATGTATTGTATAAAATTAAATTGCCATTAATTGTTAAATAGCAAAAATATATTTTATTATGTAGTGTAAAATGTGATATCATCTTTTGCATTTCTTTTCAGTATATTTTTTTCTATATTTTTTTAGAATTTACAGATTTTGCTGAAAATTAATAACCTAGATTGATTTTACAGTAGCACTGAGAAAAAAGCAACTCTTACTTACCATTGCATACTGAATAAATTTTACATTGTATCCTGTATTAGTTCTTTTTGGTGTGGGCATGTAGATAGCTTTGTGAAGATTTGAACTAAAAAGAGATGTCTTTTAGGTCTGCTTTTTTGTTTTTCAACTCATGATAACACTTATCCTCTATACCTGTATGATGTATGTAGCATTAGAGGATGAAATTTCTTTCCATTGATTCTTTTTATTTACAAATGTTTACATCAAAAAATGAATTATTCATTTTATTAAAGAATATTTACTCTACATTAGAAGTTTTTTTTTTAATCTAGTTTTTCCAAGATATTATTGAAAATCATACACTTTATCAACTCATGATAACACTTATCCCACATTAACTGTATAGTTTATGCATTTTGTGAGGATGAAAATCATTGTCATTAAAGGCATCACAAAATGATATTGTTTATTTACATACCTTTTCATCCAGATTTATGGAATATTAAAAAAAAATTATTGTTTTTTAATGTCGTTGTCACCTAACAGGTAGGATAACATAAATATTTCATACTTCATATAATTTCACTGATACTTTCATGGAACTTTAAAACTAAACATTCACATGAAGGAGTACATTTTTTGATAATATAAAATGTAATGTACCTTTTCCCAATGGCATAAAGAAATGGTACAATTAAATGATGGACCTAAATAGAGTTAAAAATTAGATATTGTACTATACATTCCCTGCTGATCACAAAGATTAGTAAAAATGGTTATTTAACCCCTTGGTGACAATGGTGGCTATGACCTTCATGATGTAACAGCCTATGATGTTGTGTAAATGCTTCATGACTCACAGCAGGTAGGCCTGCTGTATACAGCTTAGGCCCAGCCACAAAGTCTAGACTTGCAAAATTTTACATCACAAAGAAATCAGTCCCCATCACCATAGGGTTTAGAAAGTAACTTCAGGCCAAAGTCCTCACTTGTCTTGATGTGATTACTACTTTGAAGCCAACCTTTAAAAAAATACTGAGAAAATTACCTTCCTTGTAGGAAAACATGAAAGAATACCAAGGTCCTAAACAACAGCTATCAGGAAATATATAGCTCCTAAATTTATGATAAGGGCTTCTGGTAAATATACATTTTGATAAAATGCCTCTATAGGGGATTATAAGTTAGTGAATCTTCTCAAAGTATTAATCAGACTTTGATCTGGAAATATTTCTGCTGCAAAAGAAATGTAAAGTCTGAAAGCTACTTTATTGTCAGCCGTTTTCTTGTAAACACCTGATTTTATATTTAAAAACTTCTCTGAAATATTCAAGCTACATATATATTGAATAAATCCAACAGGTCAGTTGTATTTTGCTTTTGAATTCACCTATCCTGGTCTGATTCTAATATTTATTTTAAATATACTGTGAGAGAAGTATTACCAAAAGTCCTTTGTTTTATGAAATTTCTGAATGTTCATTGACAATATAACCCACCATTAGCTGCTAGATATTTTACTGTTTCAGAATCCATCATGTGTTAAGATTTTCCTTTAAATGGAAAGATTGCTGTTGATACATTGTTAATTACAGCAGTATAAAAAGTATATATTTTGAAAGGGGCATCTTTACTATTTTAGTATATCATTAGACAGAGTATTGAATTAAGCATATGTAACTGTCAAAATATATTTCCAAAGAAAACATACTTTAAAAAAGGTTTTGATTTTGTACAGTGCTTCATTGTGTGGAACAGCAAACAAATATCATTATTTGCTTTTGATAATTGATTGCTATTTAAACTGAAATTTAATGGTTAATGGTTAAAAGGCAGAATAAATGTGCTAGACATCAAAGGTCATATAACACTAAAGAAAGGTGTAAAATGAAAAAGATAAAGATGGGGGTTATTCGATGATTAATTGTGCTACATGTCAGAAGTTGTAGAGAAGTTCAGGAAGATAGAAATTAACAACGGTGAGTAGATCAAAGTTGTTAAGGGAAGAAGTGTGGGATTCTGCAAATATGTCCATAGGGTAAGGTAGCAATTAGCAAAAGGAAAAGAGGTTTAAGGGCAATTTTATCAGTTTCAGGAAAAATGTCAGGAGGTAGAGAAACCAGGCAAAGGGGTGGTTATGACAAAGGGTCACTTGTGTATCCAGGGGGATGAAGAATTGACACTGGGGAAGGAAGGGGGGGATAAATGCAGCTGAAGCATGGGGAATGGAATGTGCTGGGTGGGAGTGGGAGGAAGGGGTGTAGGGGAACATGAGTAGAGTGATGGAGCATAAAGGGAATGGAAGCAGTGATTGGAGGATGGATGAGGTGTAGGCATGTTATCTTGGGTTGTGATTAGAGAGTTCTGAATGTCTTTGAGTTTCTGAAATGGAGTTGACTGGAGAGGTCTGAGAAACAAGTTTCCTTATGAGAGGGAGAAGAGAGGACAGGCGTTTAAGGGGAGGAGGGAGAGGATATGGTAGAAGATGGGATGGAAGGTTTAGTTGTAAGTACTAGGAAGTATAGACCGGAATGTCTGAAATAGTGGTGGAGATAGTGATGGCTGGATTTAGAATGGTAAAAGAATTTGAATGGGAGAGGGAGAGACTATAAGTGGGACAAGGAAGAGATACTGTGGGAGATGTAAAAACATCTTGGGAGGGAGGGGGAGAGGTGGAATAGGTCAGCACTGGAGTATGGGAGTAATAGAAAAACCTTGTCTGCATGCTTTCTGTCTGGCCTCACATAAAGTGAGGCTAAAATTGAATATGAGAATTGCCACCTAATACCCAAACTTGTAGGTAAGACAGCTCCTATAAAATACATCATTTGAGCCACCACAATTGGCATATGTGTATGACTGTGCAGTGCAGTTTGATCGATCATGACCAGGTTGGGCACACAGTGGGCATCGGGCTGTGGAAGTGCAGTGTTTAGTGGGGTGGCCTGGACACCAAACATTTTTGACATTGATAGGAAGGAGTTTGATATGGCAAGATACGGAGGGACTCTGCCAAAATAACCATTATGGGGGAGGCCATGTCTATGGAAGTAATCTTGGCAATATTTGTGGAGGGTTTATAGCAGCACCAAAGAGGAATGATGTAGCACTGTACTGATACAGCGTTATAGATCATGAGGCATGCAAGTAGGTCTTCTCCACAATCTGACCAATCTTTGTTGTAGACAAGGCAGTTTGTCAGGGAGATGGAAATAGTTCTGGTACAAGTAATGTGGGAGTAATGAGACTGAGCAGGAATGGGTTTGCCAGTGACATCATTCACAGAAGGAATTTGGATATAACTGTGACAAGGCAGGAATGGTCAGGGTGGCTGCAGAAGAATACACTGCCTACTTGTTTTTGGAGGCATTGCTAGAAGGGAGAGTGCTGTCAGAGTAAAGTGCTGTAGAAGGGATCACTAAAAATTTATCCCATTTAGCTGGGCTAAATAGTGTATTCAAAAGGTTTGTAGAAGTGGGGATAATAGACGAGTGGGAATGTGTGGAATACAGAGTAGTGTTGAGAGAGTAGAGGTGGACATAAAGGCAGCATAGTAGTAATAAGGGAGAGGGTTGATAAAGAATGTGGGGCTGGAGGAGAAGTAGAGGATGGTGCAAGAGGAGGAAAAAGTCCTCCCTAAGGGGTCCCTTGAGGGGTAAGGGCAAGACAACTCAGTGGGAATATCTTGCCCAAGGCCATGCATGACTTGTCAAAGAGTCAGCCTTTCATTGCTTCAACACAGCTCTCACCTTAGGAAGTGGATAGAAAAAAGGGTTGGAGAAGAAAAAGAAACAGAAAGGGAAAGAAGAAAATACTGCAAAAGTAATTGAATAGTATAGTGCTCATTCTATGAGCACTATACTATATTAAAGTACAGCATACTGCACAAAGCAGAATAACCTTTCAGTCATCAAAGATGAAGTCTAATTATGGAATAAATATTTTTAGATAGTGTGCACATCAAATCTTTACCTTTACCTTTGCTTGCTCAATATTCAGTTATCATAGTTATTTCAGACTCCCATAAACATGGACATGCGTATCTAAGGTCATATAGCACTTTAGGAACGTATATTAAAGGAGGGGTGAAGTATCATATAGCACTATAGGAAAGTATATTAGAGGAGGGGTGAAGGGTGATAGTTGCTATGCGTCAACTATCAAGAGTGATCTTGTAGGGTTAAAGATGGTTAAAGAAGTTGTGTGAATAGGCTATGGTCAGCTTAGGTAAGGGAATTACCTAAGTGTTTCACGTGTGTATCCAGGTGGAAGTGGAAATGATGGAGGGGATGGAGGGAGGGAGAATGTATGTATAGTTGTGTTGGGAGGGAGTATGAGCAAGTGTAGGGGGAGTATGAGTAGGAGGAGGATGGGTGTCCGGAGGATGGATATCGGCAGTAGTTGGAGTTGAGGGGGATGGGTTGTGTTGGGAGAGAGTAGGAGGAAGATTGATATCACTAGTATCAGGAGGATGGATATCAGTAGTAGGCTGTATTGAGGGGTTAGGTTGTGTTGAGAGGGAGTAGGGAGGGGTGTAGGGGGAATATGAGCAGGAGGGAGATGGATATCGGCAGTCACTTCGAGTATGGAGGGAGCATGAGGTGTGGAGTTGTGTTTCTCAAGCATATAGTTTTGGATATATTCCATTGTTTCTGCAGTGGAGTTGGTTGGAGAGTTTTGTGAGACAAAGGTTCTCTTATGAGGGGGGGAAGAGGAGACTGGTGTCTGAGGAATGAAGGTAAAGGTAGGTGAAGGTGAGTGTGCAGTAGGGGAAGAAGGGGTGGAGCGTTTAGTCTGTCTGCTTTGGGTAGTGCGGGGAGGGAGAGGGGATGGTGTTGGGGCTGTAGTTGAGATTGGAGTGTCTGGGTTTAGGGTAGCAAAAGAATTTCACTGGGGGAGGTAGAATGTTGAAGTGGAAGTGGGGAAGTAAGTAGGTATAGGGGAGGGTGTAGGAACATCTTGAGGTGGAGGGGGAGGGGTAGAGCGAGCAACATTACTAGAGTAAGGAGTATAAGAGAAACCTTGTCAGCGTGCTTCCTGTCTGGCTTCACACAGAGTGAGACCATCTTTGTATCAGAAAGCTGCTACCTCAGACTCAAACTTGTAAGTGGGACAGCCTCTATAAGTACATTATGGGGGCTGCCGCAGTTAGCACATGTACATGTTTGTGCAGAGCAGTTTGATCAGTTATGACTGGGTTGGGCACATAGGGGGTATCAGTCTTTGGAGCGGCAGTGTTTGGCCAACAGTTTTGACATTGACAGGGAGGAGGTTGGTATGGTCGAACAGGGATGGATTGTCCACCAATGTAGATACGAACGGGAAGGTCATGTGTAGTGAAGTAATTTTGGCAATTTTTTTTTGATGACCTCTAGGAGGAATGGTGTAGCAATGTACTGATTTCATGTCTTGGTCTTTGAGGCATTCGAGTAAGTCTTCTCCACAGTCTGACCAATTCTTGGTATTGACTGGGCAGTTTGCCGGGGAGATAGAGACAGTTCCGGTACAAGTATTAAGAGTTGGATGAGGTTCTGCAGGAATGGGGTTACCAGAGTGATCAGTTAGATTTGATAATGCTATAGCTTCAGTTTCAGATCTGACTGTACTGAGACGGGAGTGATCGCGTCTGGTATGGAAAGGGACTCTGCCCACTTGTTTTTGGAGGCATTGTTGAAAGAGGAGAGTGTTGCATGAGTAAGGAGCTGTAGGGGGGATCACGAAAAATCAGTCCCATTTAGCTGGGCTAAATTTTTATATTTAAATATTTAAGATATTTGTAGGGATGGTGGTGGTAGAAGGGCAGGGACGTGTGGAAGAAGGAGTCTTGTTCAGGGGGGTAGTATTACGGAGAGATGGAGAATAAGGCTGTAAGGTAGTAATAAGGGAGGTTGGGGTGTTTGATAAAGAAGGTTGTAGGGGTAGAGGTGAAGTTGAGGAAGTTGGGAGAGTAGAAATGTCTTCCGGAGATTGAGTCTCAGCTTGGGTGGGTAAACATAGGCATTGAGGAGTGGGTAGTAGATTCAGTAATCAGGGTCGCGGTCAAAGGAGAGCCTGAGGTCGGGGAGCGGGTAGAGTCTGAATTGGTGGGGCTATTTGATGAAGAGGCAAGTCTATTTGCCTCTAATATGGGTATTACTTTATTACTGGCCATGGGAAGCCTTGATTATGTTTGGGAAATAAACAGTCCACCCCCTCAGTGCTCTTTAACCCACTAACAACGGGTGTCCAACATATGAGACACCTAAAAAAATAAACATTGCTGGGCGTCCCACCAGTGTGACGCTGTATCGGGGCCCGCGCTCCGAAGCAGCAGGGGCGGCCAGCAGGCAGACAGATTCTGAGGCAGCTCTGCCCCGATTTTGTAGCCGCCCGGAATCTTTTATTTTCGGCTTCAAAATATACCGGCATTAATGGGTTAAGGGGGTAAGGGCTAGACATTAGGGGAATGCCGTGCCCATGGTTCCTACAGGCCGTTCAGGACTGGCACAAAGTCAGCCTTTCATCCTTTCGGCTCTTACACCTTAGGAAGTATATAGTAGAAGGGGTTGGAGAAGGGATAGAAACAGAGGGCTGGAGGAAGAAAAGGCCATGCAAAATTAGTTGAATCGAGGGCTGAGGCCCTAGGCAGGGAAGATCCCTGCATTGGGTCTCAGTCTCTGTCTCCTAAGCCCCCCCACGACAACAACAGGTATGGGATTGGGGGGAAAAAACAAAGAGTAGTTGACTCCATATACACCCTGATGTTCAGTATGGTTCAGGGGGTTCCCTTCATAATTACATTGAAAATAATTACTTAAAGCCGATTCTTGGGACAAAAAATTATGTTTACTGATGATGGCATGCAGTACTGCAACAGAGCCTTTAGCATATCTTTAATGGTTTTCCATTAGTTAAATTATACAGCGAACATCTAACGGTGTTAAAGGACAATCAGTATAAAGTGCTGGTAATCTTTCATGTATATTTAGAAAAAAAAAAAAATCTTGAAGAGGTTCTATTGGTGAATTTCAAACCTAACAAATAAGATATTTTTGTTTGCTTTTTTACCATATAAATGCAAATGTAAACATGTAAACATGCAAACATATTATATCATGCTTTGTACTTTCAATTTTGTCAGCAACATCTTATAAAATGTAAAATGTAAATATAAAATCACAGTAAAATATGCAAAATACAAGTTATTGGTTCAAAAAAACAACCATTTTCACAAGAACTTTGAGTAACATATCTAACCACCATAAAAATATTTCCTTAAACTGATCAACTATTACTGACATCTAGGGATACTAGCAACATATGAAAAAGGCAACATCAAAACAAGCTCTGAAACAACATGATATAAAAAAAGAGTTTAATGTAAATCAAAGAACAGTGTGATGCTTACATTTCACACACAGGAAAACTATGTAAAACCATTTCAACAAAGGAAAACACAAGCATTTCCTGTAATATAAAACACTCACATTCCTTTTCTGGGAAAGACTGACTCAGCAGCAAAGCCCAAACACAATATAGTGATATATATAAACTTTTACAAAGGTCTTGACACTGATGCTTAACTGTCGACACTGGAGCTATAATCTTGGAAATTATTTACACAAAGCTCTTAAGGGTTATAATAATTTTGAACTTTACACATTTGATAAAAATAACTAATAAATTTGTCTTATCATAACTGTAAATCACGCTTCACTTGATTGACTCTCTGCAGCAAAGTAGACAGTTTCTCACTCCTGAAAAAGTGAAAAAAAAATCAATTATATACACAAAAATTTCACTACCTATGAATATGTCTGTAAATTCAAATAAACATTTAATTAGCAACAAATTTGTAAACCCAATGGCCACAGGGTTATTTACTGTCCACTGTAGAATCTTGTGAATTTTGTTGCATACAGACGGCTCCACAAGTTCTCAGCCACCAAGGAGTTAATTAGTGGGCCTAAATGTCTACAACTCATTGCCCTATTCCTTGAATTTACGGATATTGTTTTCTGATGCTTTTAATATCAATATTCTTATTACTGCTATTGAAACTGGTTATCAAAATGTTCTGAAAATACTAATAACAATATCAATAGTTATGCAATATAAAAAATATCTCCAGAAATCAAGGAAAAGTGCAAACATGTGAGGTACATTGGACAAACAATTAACTACTTGGTAAATAAGCACTTGTGGAACCATCTTTGTGTAAACACAATCAGTTAACTAAAACTACAATGGACACAACATGTAATCATGCCATCTGTGTCCAATGGGTTTAAAGATTTCTTACCCACATCTAACATATACCAACATCATACAATCATATTAAATAATTTTCTCTTATCATTTATCATAAATCAAAATAAATAACTAACTCCCCTCCCCTCTACCTCTACCATTTTCATAAAATTCTGACAAAATTGACAGCAACGTTCTACAATGACATGACCCCTTTTACTTACTCTTTGCTGAGAGCCTGTTTCAGAGCTTTCAACTGACTTTCTGAAACAGTGGGAGATGCATGGGCTTTAACAGCCTCAGTACTCTGTAGTTTCTCCATCTGAAAGAATTCATATTATGTCATGATATATACATGAATACTGTACTTTCGCAATTCTTATTATAAATTTAGAACTATCTCAACTTATGTTGGCTGATACAGAATAAAACGAAAAAAAAAAAAAAAAAAAAAAAAAAAGAACTATCAGTATGGACACAACTACAGAAAAGTATTCCTGTAATCTTCAGTGCAGACTGAGATTCAGAAGAATAATGTAACAACAATGAAGTAATAATGATTAATCTAAGTACAAAAAGCATGAACACTTGAGCAAAATGGGGACCAAAAAATACTTCTTAAAGCCTCCTGGCAACAAAGGGGCACAATATTTGTTTTGAGAAAAAGAAAAAAAAAAAAAAAAATGATAATGATAACAACAACAACAATAATAATAATATTAAATAAATAAATAAAATAAATATAATAGTCCTCAAAAAGGTATGAATGAGACTGGATATCTTCATAATACAAGAGATGTATTTGACCGGTTTTGATTACGTCTTCATCAGAAATATGTATTTCTGATGAAGGCGTAATCAAAACCGGTCAAATACATCTCTTGTATTGTGAAAATATCCAGTCTCATTCATACCTTTTCCACATTTGTCAACATGGATATGGTTCATAATAGTCCTCTTCTCATACTCCACTGATATGGTCTGATCCAATGCATTTACTCTGCCATGCTATCTTCATATTTTCTTTTAAAATTTTACAATATATTAATTTTTTCCACTTTTATGTAAACTACAAATAGGTACCGAGCAATGAACTATAGTAATTAAAAATATATACATATTTCTATTTACTTATATACCTGACAGTTCTGCCAGAAATAGTCCTAACACATCACAGCCCTGCATATGCAATCTACATTGCCTTGTGAACATCATACATATTTCCTCCTTATATGCATTTCTAATTAAATATTCATATATAGTAACAGTACAGTTTCCACTACACAAGGTCCTCTACAACAGGAATTATGCATAGAGTTATGTTACAGTTTGATGAATACTCTAGGTCTTCAAAGAAAATAACATTTTGATAGTATATCAATTACCATATCAATGAGGGTATATCAAGGTTAGTGATCAAATGCAACATCCTTCTACTTCAATAAGGCAACAAATTTTTTCCAAAATCTAAACATTTTCATCAGCTATAAATATCACCTCTACAATACAATTGGTATTTTGCGAGATCTAAATACTTTTAAATTCAATGACAAGCTTTATATTAGAATCTTTAAAAATGTCAAAAATTCTTAAGTGACTCAGAACCCCTTCTTGACTGAATCTAAAACTGTTCTTGTGTAGGTTAGTAATCTTCAGTTATTCCAAACGCCCGGTAAATACCAATATTGACATTACCTGACTTGTCTGCCATTTATCCTTGGCTTGTATTTCACTCAGCTGGTTAGTAAAAATAATGGTGTGCTTCTGCATAGCCTCCAGCTCCTGCAGCATATTCTTCTCTCCAGCTGATAACACAGGCAGCCCTCGACTTACTTGATTCAGCACTTTCTCTAGCCTGAAATTATGCAGTAAGTTACTCAACAGATACATCAGGTGTGATTATTCAAATGAATACCACAGGCCTGATTTACTTCTAAACAGACAAGCAGGTAAAAGTTATAAGTTGTGGGATTAAATATCAAAATCTATATACTGTGGGTCATCATAAATCATCAATTTACCTCTGAACCAATTGGGTCTGTCTGTCATTTGCCTCTTCATACTTCTCGGCCAATTCATGAGCTTTTTCAGTTAGCTGTCTTTTCCTTGACAGTAGGTTTGAAATCTCAGATTGAAGTCGTTGCTTTTGTTCACTTAGAATGTCAGATCTGTAAATTAACAAACAAAATAGTATGTTCGTTAAAAAAAAGAGTATACAACAAATAAAGTACCTTTCACCTTTATTATGCAAAGCTGAAAATGTTAAATTAAACACCATCTCTACCTTCTTTGTATGTCTTCTTTAGCTGTCAGTTGTGGCTGAAGGTAATTGGTTCTTAAGGTTTCTATCACCCGGTTGAGAAGATTCATATATTCATTTGGAGTGACCTTTGACACAGATCCTGATGTCAAAAGTGGCTGTGAAGATACTCTGTGCAAAGTACTACGAATATGGTCTTCAAATGGTTGCACATGAATCTGTTAAGAAAAATGGTATTAGTTACCAAGTGACAAAACATTTATGATGTTACAAAATATGTAAAATCCAAAAATATGCAAAACTGTTTCCATAAAATCTGCAATACATTTTCAGAATTACTATATGAACAAGAAATATAATCAAGGTATGTAAATCTTTATAATGAATCCCAATAACCAGAGTAAAAGTAGACTACAATAGAAAATACTGAATTGATATAAGCTACATACTTTGTTGTCAGACCAAAAGTATAAATGTGGTCATGTAATGAAATTTTGACTTCTAATAATGTGCAAATTTTATAGTTTGCTCACCAAAGTGAATTCACAGTAACCTTTGATATATTGTAAAATGTCCTTACCTTCCTCAGAGGTGATACCGACAGGTCCACATCACCATTACATGGCTCTGTTATATTTGGAACAAAGGCAGATGGAACACTTATTTGAATGAGTTTCCCAGATGCTAGAAGCACATATAGAGAATGTGTAGTGTTAGCCACTAAGCCTACAACTGGCATGGGAGCAGCAGGGGCAAGGGATCTCGTGCAGATGACATGATCCACAACACTCTGCGACTCACTGTCAGAAAATGCTGCATCTGAAATCAAATAACCCTCTTAGTAAGCTGTAAGATGCACAGCAAAGAAAACTGTTAAAAGAAATCTTACAAATAAAAAGCATATAAAAAAGATAATCAACCATCGTAAAAAAAAAACAAAAAAAACTGTTATCACTTCATTAAATGGAAAGATTAACTAAGTACTGAAAATCACAAGTGACCTGGAAGTTTGATTATCAATTTCCAATTTTCTTTTGCCAATCAATGAACTAAGCAATGGAGCATTGAAAAGTGAAACTTCCTTCTAAGAAAGCAAGAAAAAAGGAAAAGAAAAGTACATAAAGAGAGAAAAAGGAAGAAAGAAAGGGAATAAAGACCAATGAAATATCACTCACCATCTGGTTGGTCATTGTACTGCAGATAATCTACAACCGAGAAAATCACACCATGTACTCCAGCTTCATGACTCACCCAATATCTGAAAATCAAGACTTTTATGATGATCACAAGTACACATGAATGCCTGCTTAGTAAGATGTCATATATCCATACAGTAATGTAATACATTCATTAACTTATTCATTTTGATTATGTTTAGAAGTCTAATTAACTGCACATCAGCAAAAAGTATTATAGATGCTCATCCATATTCAAGATCTGAATGCCATTTTTAGTGATATCTCACAAAAATTCTAGTTATATGACAAGCTGTTTTTGTTTGTAGTTTGATTACTAAGGGTGTCACATGTCCATAGGCAGTGAATCTTTTAATTAACTAACACTTTAAATTCTTATTCTAAAAAAAAAATAATCTAAAATGAAATGAATGAATAAAAATTGCATATTCTAAATAAATAAATGAATAAATAAATATATATATACATAAAATACATGTAGCATTATGGATAGACTAGTACATTTCTTCAAAAAACTAACAGGAAGGAATAAGGCATTTCTGATGCAACATTATATGACTTCTAAATAAAAAAGATTTATGGAAATGACAAGTATCCGTTGTAAAATGTTCTTGTATGGATTACATCAATTCAATTCAGACTATCTAATTCCTTCCTCAACAATATTTATGTGTAGCCATATGTTTTTATTATATGTCATGTTTTACTTATTTCATTTCTATTTAAAATGTTTGAAAATACAAATTCAAATCCATTTTCTCACACAGCCTGTTATATTCTTTCTCACAATGGAATGTAAAGCACACTGACAACTGAATGAATGATGTATTCATTAAAGGGCCAAATTGCAATCATTACAAAACTAAGAGAACCAACAACAGACTTTAAAATTATCTAACTTGTTCATTTAGGTAACCTGACCCATAATTTGTACAAAATTACCTTTGGCCATACCAATTCTCTTGCTGAACTTTTATTAGCACATTAAATCTGTTTCAATCAGTATCATCCTTACTCTGAGGGTGTATTAACTTGTACACTGGCATATATATATCCACACAGATATCAACAACTGTAAAGAAAATATGGAAAATTATGAGAAAACAAACTTTTTCTAAAGGAACATGACTACCTTGTGGGTGTGGTAGGATCTGCATGCAACAGGAGAGGCGTTGAGAATCCCTCATCTGTAGACAGAAGTGACATCTCAAGCTCTACTGTTTCATAAACATGCAACCTTACAGGTGCCATTTCATTGGTCCAGAATCCATTTGCAAGTGTTTCATTACAGTTCTGAAAGAAAATTTTAATAATGAAAAAAAAATAATCCTTTTTTTATTTTACAAGTACAATGAGAAATGCATCACACAAATGTATACTAGTAATTACAATACTCAATACAAAATGCAATGACATTAACACAGCATCATACCACTTATTTACATATTTCTGGCACTTATGCATTAAAGTTTCTCTTGCCATATGACCCCTTTTTCATTTTTACAGACACATGATATCATCAACATTTCAATTATGAGAAAAGTAAATGGTGACCTCCTAATTTGTAAATATCAAAAGGCATGCCATGTATCTGTAAACTAATGAGCAACCTCAGAATTCATAAACAATAAAAAGGATTTTCTCCATGGACCTGCCAAGATAAGGCAACTGGAGACAGCCCATTAATACAATGACAGCATTTATTTCAAACATTTGCAAATATTTCATCTGAATATGAAGAATGTTGAATGTCTATAGTATTATAGATCCTGCATTAAAAGTAGAGACCAATCACATTACTAAGTTTCTAAAGATACAGAATGCTTTATTTCACCTTTTCAAGTTTATTATCAATAACAATGCAATGATGCAATTGCCCTGTTGATGTGGCAATGACAACAACAGGTGGAGATGACTGCAACACTAGAAGGTCACATGTGTCAACTCCATAATTTGTGTCGCAAGCAGGTGTCATACTGAGCGGTCCATAAACTACGTGTGGAGCAGATCTGAAACAAAAAAATGAGAAACAATTAAGGAAGGACATGACCAGATATTGAAAATTATAAAGGGAGAATTTAATGATGCTTAAATAGAAAAAGTATCTTACTTATTTTTGTATCTGCATTATTTCTAATCAATATGAGCCCAGAAAAATACCCTATTGCTATTTCTTAAATCTAAAAACTAAAACGAAAAAATTACCTTCTGGTACTGAATGTTGTAATAGTAAGATATATCTCACCATTACCATGCAGGATGAAAATAGGCCATTTCAATTCAAGGCATTTTTGCTTCATCTCATCTTCTGGATCAATCTACAAAAGACAAGCAAATACAGAAAATCAAATATAGTTTGGAACTAAAGAAAAATATCAAAGGTAAAATAACAAGTATCCCCAAATTTTAAACTTAAACTTTTGTGCTGAAAAAAAAAAAAAAAAAAAAAAAAAAAAAAAAAAAAAAAAAAAAAAAAAAAAACAGTACGTACAATAGGACTTGTTACACCATTTGAGACCGCATTTCCTGGAACATGTTTTACAGGTTCGCTGGGAAGACCAAAGTTAAATGCAATTGCATTTTCTCCAAGTGTTGATGCATTTACAACTCCAGAACCACTTGAACCCACAGATATTGCTTGTTCTGGTATCTCATGGCTTGACAGATTGTAGATGCTGAAAAAAGGGATAATCATCAGCTAAACAGTTTTAGATGAATAATATTATACCACTGATACCAGGAGTAGGTGTAAATATGCACATTTTCAAAACTGTTATACAAATACTACTGCTAATAACATGTCATATCAACTACTGTAAAGAAAATATGGAAAACTATGAGCTGTGCTGGCAAGTTCATGGCAGCAACCAAAAATAAACACTTCTGACTCTTTTCACCAAACTGTATTTTCATACAATTATATTGGGAAATATAATAACTCACCGTAGGTAATTGTCAGAAGCTAAAATCACTATGTGATTATCATCAATAGATCCTGGGTGCCAAGCAGCTGTCATCACCTCTAATTTAGGGTGACATGAAAAAAATCGTTCTGCTATGTACTCAACCCTGAAAGTAAGGGAATTTCTTGGTAAAAAGTACAAATAATGCCATGAGAAGTGAAAGAAAATCAAAATTTCTATTTCTATCAAAACAGAATATATCACCTTTTTACTGTAATAAGCAGCTATTACAAGTAAGACCTTACCTGCAAGTAACAGTATCTTTCCCTTTGTCATATAGTGCAGGATCGCCACTCCGCTGAGGTAGCTCTACCACAGCCACACCTCTTCTGCCTATAAGAGCAACACAGCTCCCACTGCGATTCATTTTGATACGTTCCACATCCCATACTGGTGGCTTGGATACTGCTAAAATCTGCAAAAAATATAAATGTCAATGACTTTTGACAACTGTGATTTAATAAGTTTCAGAGTTACAGCAACAGAATTAAGTAATTATCTTTTTGGCTCCACCAATTGATAGCATAAATGTCAAGTATTCAAAGAATGTTTCTGATTCATTGGCTAAGCAATTACTTTTATCTACATTAGGTGCACAATACACTTAAACTACCATGAATAACTTGCCATTCGTGGAAACTGAAAAACTTCATGAATTGTGGCTGGGTTCCTTATTCATCTGCTGAAGCCAAAGTCTTCAGGGTTTACTTCCAGCAAAATTACATATTGATTCATTCAATATTCATCACTTAACCCGCAGCTGACGGGTGGCATGTACGTACATGCCATGGCTGTTGTGGCCCGAAACACACATGGCTTCATATCATGCCCATTCCCACACAACTGGCTCGTTGGACGGAGTTTGTTTTTCTCCATTAGTAGTGGCTTCATTTAGATGGTAAAGATTTTAGGCAGTGGCACCTATAATGAAGGTAAACCTTCAAAATTATAATATTTTCATAAATTATAGCAAAATAAGCTTTTAGGTGCCAAATGTCGCTTGCAAACTACTGATCGAGCCGGGCGCAAACAGGAAACTGCCGATGTGCACCAAAATCCCTCTCTTATGTCCACTTGCCATACATTTTTACCCGTCGCCACTGGGTTAAAATAATGGTATCATTGAATGGCACAAATGTTTTTCAATAACTTATATATTCCATCTAGTTAATCTCTACCGTAGAGATGTACTAAGCTAGGGTAAAGTGAAGTTAATATTTTTGTAGAGGACAAAAGGTTGCAGTTATAGGTACAAGAAATAATCTGCAGTCAAGAACAATAATGCCACATATAAAGGAAAAATACTGCAGAAAGCAAGTCCACTCAGTACGACCGAGTTTCAGCTTTATCATGCCACGCATACAGAGGTGAAGACAATGTTCATCAACCTTAATACCCAGTCATGGCAACTCAGATTGTTAAATAAATTTTACAATAGAGTTGGGACTTAGTCTCTGGCAAGTGCATCCATATTGTACAGAATTACCATTTAGAATTTTATTTTATCGTTGCTTATCTAAGCCGATCATTTTAAACTAGATACGACTTAAAATATACACATTACTTATCTAAGCCGATCATTTTAAACTACCCACTAATACTAAATTATTTCTATATTTGCATTAGAATAACACTTTTAACACTCAAAATTTTAAAGAAATATGCAAAGATTTTCCCTAATCTCAGATCTAAAGCAATGTAATGCAGTTTATGGCAAGGTAATCAGTTCATACACTATTTCCTACTGCAATCCTGATTGTTATTCACTGTAAACTTACCCATTCTTATTGGTGTTCAAACAAAACTAAAGAGTATCTAAACTTTGATAACCTTCTAGAATAGTTCTTCATCTTCAAATCCGGTGAATCTGGTATCTGTAGATTCATAATGATGTCTTATGTACATTTACACTGGTTTTAACTGACACTAGGAAACACATCTGACTGGCAATATAGAGTCAAGACAGGTTTAGAGGACATAATAACCAATTTGAGAAATGACCCCACATCTCTCACCATTCACTTGTGTAAATTATGCAAAATTTTGTACAATCATATCTCTGCTTATTTATTAAGTCTGCTGACTATCATTTAAATATTTGGATAATATGTATCAATGTTTATCAAATTTATTGCAGACCATTCTAGATAATTACCAAAACTTTCCTACATTTTTTGTGTGAAACAAATTATTACTGAATGAAGATATCGGTGAAAATGTAATAATACTAGCTGTAAATTCACTTTATATATCTTTATTAAGCTACAGAACTTAACTATTCATATAAAAAATCCACCTTTTACCCTGAACTAGTGAATTTCAAATCCATGCCTGAATTAAGACCCAGAGCTAATTTGAAATGAAAGTCTCTTGACAACCGACTATTCATATCCGAAAATATCACCCAAACCTCCAAATCTATCCATCCCAGCTGATTCGGTGAATAAGAGTTGGTGATAACTGATCTCAGAATGAACATAAAACGCGCTGTTTTTTTCCTCACCTGAACTTTGGAGTCTGGAGGATTGGTCACTTGAGTTAGCAAACAGCCGTCTTCTTTACTCCAGGCTATTATTATGTCATCAACAACATCAAGAAGGCCGTGTCGAATAGTCCTTTTGAAGGATCTCTCCTTATATTTCTCACTCAGGACTTTGGTCAAAGTGAGATTTTCGCCGCCTGTGTACATTGAACCAGCCATCGTTGTTGACATGAGCTGTTCGGGGTTTCGTCCGAATGCTTTCACAACGTAGCGTGACTTGGACTTCGACCGTACTGAGAGCTTTCGTATTATAATCAGTGGTGTAATAAGTGTTGAAAAATACTAGTCTTTTGAATTTTCTATCTAAATTTGCCTTTATTTTCAGTTAAAGATAAATATACAGGAGAAGTGATGTTCTGTAGCCACTGCAAGGATTTCAAACGAAATAAGATGAGGAACGAGAAGCGTAAATTTTGAATTGAAGCTTTTCTCTTTTCTCACTAGCTGCTTTCTTTTCATGTAATGGCTCTCTCCTTATATTTTTTTCCTCCTTTCTCTGTCTCTTTTCTCTCGTTAGGATACAGCGCTCGCGTAGAAGCTGCAACATATGCAATGTCACTTGAAGATAACAAATGGTGACTGTCGATTACAGGGTTCTCTCTGGCCTCTTTTAAAGTAGATGACTTCAGCCACTAATAAAACTTTTTTTTTTTTTTTTTTTACTTTTATTTAATCTTGCCAGTTGATAATTTTTTTAAAGTGTGGTTTTCATGATAAGGACAGGAAGAAAAAATATGTGAACCTTGTAAGGATACTGTTACTCTAATATGTATTTTGGAGCTTTATCATGGTAATAATAATGCATTGCTTTCCGATGGTTAAACCACTAAAGACAGTTTATGAATGAGCTGATAAAATTTTCTCAGTTCATTTATTAAAGTTAAGAGGCATGCACACACGCGTGCGTGCACGCGCGCACACACACACACACACCACACACACACACACACACACACACACACACACACACACACACACACACACACACACACACGCACCCGCACGCATATACACATGCACGTTTAAATATGTTTGCAGACGAAGTGAAGATACAAAAAAAAAGATAACATACAACGTTTCATGCAAATGCCTCAAAAATGACATCGAGAACTTATTCACGTGGAGTTTCAATTGAAAAATGGAATTCAATACCAATAAATGCCACGTTGCCAAGTTCGGAGAAAGTAGAAATCGCCCACCATGAATTAGGAGACGGAATATTAAACAGCTGATAGGGAAAAAGTTCTTAGTGTAATCATAAACAGAAACCTAAGTTCAAATGATCCTATAAATGAAAAGGTCATTAAAATGCGAGGACTGATTGCGAACACGAAGAGGGCATTCGTGTATATGGACGAAGATAAGGTAAAAATCATTACAGCAATCATAAGACCAAGTCTTGAATGCGGTGCAGTGGTATGGAGTCTACACTTAAAAATGACAAACTAGAAAGAGTTCAAAGAGCGGCCACAAGACGGGCATCTACTCTAAGAGACATGAGTTACGAAGATAGACTACAGAAATTAGGACTACTTTGGAAGAAAGCAGGAAAAGGGGGGGGGGGGGGCATGATTATGTTGTACAACTGTATTACAGGAAGAGTGAGGTTAGATGACTTTTTAATCTTAAACACAAGAAGGACGAGAGGACACAACAAAAAAGATGAAATGAAAAAGTGGTAATAAAGATATAAAAAATAGTTTCCCAAACAGAACTATTAAAACATAGAACAGTCTCCCAAAGAACGCAGTGTGTGCCCAAAATGTGCATTTGATTAATAAGTTATACGACGATTTAAATATAATATACGGGACCACATGAGCTCTTCTCCCATACTGAAACAACTAGGTAAGAACACACACACTCATTTATACATATATGTATTTGTGTGCATTTTC